AAAGAACAGAATGAGGTTCTTGGTCTGATCTTATCCCATGGTCACGTCTCATTTTTCTCTACACCTCCACTGTAGACTTAGCCCTGGGTCACCCAAAGTTTAGCAGAACTGGTTCCTATCTGAGGCTCACAAACTTCTATCATCAGATATTTGATTAATTAAGCTATACTGGCCTAACATCTTAAGGAATAGATTGGACGAAGGGCATCCAGTTGAAAAGTAGTTTCTGTTTGTTGTTTTCTCTTTTTGCTGGAGTTATCAGTTTTCCTTTTAATCATTATCAAGGACCTGTGTGATCCTTAACACCATACCTCAACGTATGCTGCCTTATTTTAGAGTTCTTTTCTTTATAGCTCTCAGTTGCCCTGATAGATGTAAGGTTTATGAAAGCAAGGCCATACCTTACTTGTCTTTGTAACTTCACTGGCTTAGGCTCTCAGTAATGGCTGGAGAAAGATCAGTGAAAATGAATGACTTGAATGGCTTGGAGAGCAAAGGACTTGCCTGCCAATCTGAGCACAGCTGAGTTGTAGATAGCCCTCAGCCCGTTGCCTCTTTTCTAGGACAAATCTGATTGATAATGTCTCCCCTCTTTCCTACAAGGATATTTTGAGATGAAATTGAGTTATATATAACATTTTGAGCCTTTCAGAGATGGTATTACATAAACCACTTTGCCTCTCAGCAGTTGTGTAATTTAGTTAGATGACATCTTGTGCTGGAGTCCACTTTAATGCAAATACTTTATTGCAAAGCTTCTTAAAAATAACGAATAAGTGATTTAGCCTTTTTGATGATTTTGAAATGATTTAAGAGATTGCTAATCAAAAACATTTCAGAGGACTAAGTTAATTACCTGACTCCACCACCACTGACTCTATTCATGATGCTGGAAAAAGTTACTTTCTCTCTGCTGGTTTTTGGCTGCCCCTCCCAGAATGTTGTCAAATACATTTTACTGTTGTATGAAATAAAGTCGTGGAGATGCAGAGTTCTAAGCAAATGTAGCATCAACAGTGCCTGGCACATAATAGGGTCTCAGTAAGTTTCTACAGAATAAATTAATGAATCAATCTATTTTCATTACTGCAATGTAATATGGGGAATATCCCAGCCATCTATTTCTTCAGCCTCAGCTTCAATACTGCCTGCCAGTGGTGGAATCCCTCCAAAGGCCCCTAACTCCATTTGTCAACAAATTTAATTACTTTCAAATCCCACCTTATACTTCTGTGAGGCATTCTGTGATTCCACTGGGCACTTAGTCATATCTTTGCTGCATTCCTCAAGTGTCTTACTCATACCTCTGTTGTATTTCTCACAGTACATTAGATTTCCAGTTATATCTCTCAGGTCTCTCTTTGTAGACTATGAACTCCATGAGGACAGAAGTGTGTCTTGTTTTCTGTGTGCTCCCAGTTTCTAGCATAATACAGAATGGATGAAAGACTAGAAGGAGGGGGACAGATAAATGAGAGGAAAAAATAATAATAACAGGGACTATATGTATTGATTGAGACTCAGTGGTCTCTTAAGAGGGCTGTGCTCATCCCTGAAAGTGTGTACCAAAGACAACCCCTTCAGATTCAGGAAGAAAAATTTAAAACAATTTTCTTTTTTTAAATCCTAACCATTTTAATTCCCATTTTTTATGTATGTTTTGTACTCTGCATACTATTTTAGAATAGTTGTACATATATTTAATACATAAATAAACATATATTACAAAATACACATTCAAACAGTTTCCATTAAAGGTACAAATCATACATTTGGAGACTCCCTAGTATATTTGTTTGTCAGGTGTCTCTACTAAGCATTCGATGTAATATTATTTCATTTAATTCACCAAAAATCCTGTGAGGTATGTATTGTGGTCCCCATGATGAAGAAGTTGATGCATAGAGAGGTTAGGCAATTTTCCTAATCATTTACAGCTGGTGAGTGGTGGAACTAAGGCCCAGGCTTAGATTTGTCTGGCTTACCCACTGCCACATCCTCTCTTATTCTTCTCTCCTAGTACCCAGGGTTGTTCTTCAGGCACAGTACAGCCTTGTGGATTAAATAAGTAAACTGAATGAATAACTTAATCATACATTTTAAAGCTTTCTTCTAAAGAAAAATAGTGAAAATTAAAATAAAATTGCTTTTTCATTGTAAAAGTGTGTATTGGCAATGATAAGCCAACTAACATACCTATGTAACACATTAGAATGCTTAGTCCCATTTCTTTTTTTTTTTTTTTTTTTGAGACGGAGTTTCGCTCTTGTTACCCAGGCTGGAGTGCAATGGCGTGATCTCGGCTCACCGCAACCTCCGCCTCCTGGGTTCAGGCAATTCTCCTGCCTCAGCCTCCTGAGTAGCTGGGATTACAGGCACGCGCCACCATGCCCAGCTAATTTTTTGTATTTTTAGTAGAGACGGGGTTTCACCATGTTGACCAGGATGGTCTCGATCTCTTGACCTCGTGATCCACCCGCCTCGGCCTCCCAAAGTGCTGGGATGACAGGCTTGAGCCATCGCGCCCGGCATGCTTAGTCCCATTTCTTGACTAAAAAACTGAGGACAGCAAGTGACTTCTTCACTGCCACGGCTAAAGTCAAGCAGCTAGTATTCTCGTGTTCACATATGATTACCAACCTGCTTTTTTAAATTGAACTATAATTTGTATGCCATAAAATTTACTCTTTTAAAGTATGAAATTCAGGAGTCTTTAGTATATTCACAAGATTCTGCAACCATCATTTTGAACATTTCCATCACTAATTTCAGAGCATTTCCATCATTCCAAAAAGAAAGCATATACCCACCAGTAGTCACTTCCCATTTCCCTTTCCTCCAGCCCCACCGCCCTCTAATCTACTTTCTGTCTCTGTGAATTTCCTGTTCTAGACATTTCACATAAAGTAAATTTACACAATATGTGGCCTTTTGTGTACTACTTCTTTCAGATAGCATAACATTTTCAAGGTTCATCCAGCCCTTCATTACTCTTTAGGCTGAATAATATTCCATTATGTGGATAAACAAAAATCCATTCATCAGTTAATAGACATTTGGTTGTTTTCATTTTTTGGCTATTATGGATAATGCTATTGTGAACCTTTGTGTACAAGTTTTGTGTGAACATGTGTTTTCAGTTCACTTGGTTTATCCTTAGGAGTGAATTGCTGGGTCACATGGTAACTCACGTGTTTAACATTTTGAGGAACTGCCAAACTGTTTTCCAAAGTGGCTGCACCATTTTACATTTCTGCCAACACTGTATGAGGGTTTCAGTTTCTCAGCGTCCTTGCCAACACTTGTTATTGTCTCTTTTTTTATTGTAACCATCCCAATGGGTGTGAAGGTATCTCACTGTGGTTTTGATTTGTATTTCTTTAATGACAAGGATGTTGAACATCTTTGTATGTGTTTATTGTTCCCTAAACTACTTCTTTTAAATTTAAATTATTCCTATTTCCTTATTTATTTTATTCATTGGGATATAAATTTTATTCTTCTTCTTGTGATACCTATTTTGCTCCAGGAACTCTGAAAGCATATTAAATGCTCATGAGATCTCTTATTAAGGATTGCATGACCTCTCATAGTGCCAAGCTGCTCGTGCCATGAACTACAAGAATTTAACTGAGTTTCCACTGACAACTTTTTACGAAGTCTCCACATCACATTGTCAGATAACAAGCTTTTATAAACCCCACATTATGATGATAATGATGCTTTATTGTAAAGCATTTAATGTTATAGGAACTCCAAGAATTTTTTTCAAAAAAAATTTTTTTAACTTTTCACATTACTATGAGGCAGAAAAGAAGCCAGTAGATGCCTCAGGGAGTCCTCCAAGAAAGTGTTTGTAGAGATATGAATATCTAAAAAATTCTAGGGTGTCTTGAGAAAAAAATCCTTGTTAGTACAACCAGTGTTTCCAGAATATTTTCAAATTGCTTTTAAGTTATATGCCAATTCTGCATCTAAATCATACTGCTTATATGTGATATTAATATTTTAGTAATGCTAAAATTAATGCTTGCTATCAAATCTAGTTTAGGTCAAAGAGAAAGGAAGGGAAAAGTTTTGAAAATTTTATATGCCAATTTCCACCTGTACTGTGAAATAATATTTATACTAGCATCTAAAGATCTATAGTAGTATTCTTTTTCAAAAAGTACTTGACAGATGACATATACAGTAAATCCACCTCGGTTGGAGCTATGAGATCTTCCAGGCTTTCAGATCTTACAAGTTCCCATCTTACATTCAAATTTTATTTGATGGCTTTTACCAATACTAGTCATTTTCAATCTTACTGCAAGTTGAGTATATTTGGTAATTATGTTTACAATGATGAAATTCATCAATTCCCTCAGAAACTGGGCTTTTTTAATGGCAAACTTTTTTTATGGAAAAAAAAAAAAACTGTGAGTTTTTGTTTACTTGATCTGCAAAAACTGGTTGGGCACCTGCAAGGCACTAGACCTAGGAAAGACAGTGAGAGCAGAACAATCATGGTGCTTGCCCTTGCAGAGCTCATAGCAAACCTGCAAACTCCAGAAACAATTCCATCACTGCAACTGTGATCAATGCTGAAAGTGAAAATGTTAAGATTCTATGAGAGGGTATCATAAAGGAGCTGACCCAGTTTATGGTTGTCAGAAAAGGTGTCCCTGAGGAAATGATACATAATTGGGGACCTGAAGGAAGCCTAAGCTTTAGCAAAAGCACGAGGCAGAGGGGACTTGCATGTGCACAGGACTAGGGCAGACAGGACTTGATGATTTTGAGGGCCTTAATGAAGGGCAGAGAGGCTAGTGTGTGAGGAGCAAAATGACAGGAGGCTGTGTGATGGATGGGGCAGGCAGCGCATGGAGGCATGTTAGGGATTTGGGCCTCTGTCAGTTGGGGAGCTGCTGCAGGGGTTAAGGCTGTGGCATTTGTTAGTAGCCATAGAATTAATAAAGGCCAAATGATCCTTTGTTATTTTCCTCTCCCTTGGTCAGGATTATGACTGGCGAAACTATCAGCCCAGCCAGATGAGTGAATCCGAGTTACAGATGCTAGCGAGCCTATGGCGGCAACAAAATGAAGAACTGGAGGATGCCGGGACCTCCCATGGCCTGAGTGCATCCCAGGTGGACAACTGTAATGTCAGCATAAGTACCAGCAGTGACGACACAACCACCTGGAACTCCTGCCTGCCACCTGTGAGTCCTGAGCTTTGCAGCTTCCTCTCATTGCTTAACAAGGAGCAAGTTTCTTTCTAACAAATCCCCGCCCTGCCTGGAAAAGCCAGGACCAAAAAAAGAACACTCACTACAAGAAATGATTAGAGCCCATTCTGAAGTAGTATTTTAGAACCGGGGACAGAAATTAGAAGATGATAGTCTTCTTTAATTGTCTTATTTACCTTCAGAGAAGGTATATATGATGATATATCAAACCGCACATTGAAAGAACAAAAAGAACAATTTTACTATAGATATTGGGTGTCCCATTGTGTCCCCTGTTCCTAGTATAAGCCATGTGGCACATACAAGAGGCTCAATATTTGTTAAATAAATATTTGTGAAATGAATGAACACAAAGGAAAAGACTATAGATAAACAAGTATTCCTTGGATATGAAGACAGAAAAGACTATAGATATACAAGTATTCCGTGGATATGAACCTTCTGTAGAAGTCACCAGATGTTCACGGACTCCTCACTGTGTCTGATGGGCCTTGATAGGCACTGTGGATGCTTCAGAATCTTATATTCCCATGTGCTTCCATAGTTAAAGTACTTTCAGTGTGGCCCATTGCCCTCACTATGGCCTGGTAGAGGGGTTGAAACAGGTCTTAGCCTTCCTGTTTTTCAGGCGAAGAAAGTAAAGCCTGTGTCCAAGCTTCCACATCTGGTCAGTGGTAGAGCCCAGAGCAGAGCCCAGTGATTTAATTCAGTCCATTCTCTCTAATACTGCCCTCAAGGACCTTACAATTTAATTAGAAAGACAGAGCATCCATCAAATAGTTCAGTACAGCACAAAAAATGTCATAAAGCAGAATAATAAAATCATTGCTATAATAATGATAATTAGAGCTATCATTTCTTTAAATACCTAGAGTCATTTTAAGACCTCCACAGGCCTAAGAAACATTTACTTACAAGGCTACATTCAATATCATAGCAAACAGACTAAAATATGCTTTCATCCAAAAGTGAATATGTTTTTGCTATACAATTTTTAAAGGAAATATAAAACCATATAACTTCTACTCATTTATATACAACTATATAAAGGTTGAGTTGAAGTGTAGTTGACAGTAGATAAGTTAGGTTTTAAGTATTTAATTAAATACCTCTTAATTTTGTGATTTACTTTTCATATTTTAAAGCCAGTTTTTTCCAGGTCTCCAACATCTTTGTAGATCTTGGAAATCTCAGAGGCCGTGGCACCTAATGCCTTACATGTGTTATCTAGTTTACTCCTTAACACTACTGTGTGGTAAGCACTGCTGCAGAGCTCTTGAGTAATGGAGGCTCTTGAGTAAAGTGAATCAGACCTAACTTGGTCTGACTCCCAAGTCTGGGCTCCTGACCACCACGATGTGGTGACTCAGTTGTCAGATGAATGTTATCCAATGGATATCTGGCTATCCAGTGGATGGTGAGATTTCTGTGCTCTGGGGAGAACTTACACAAGTCTTCATGGAGGATAAATTCCAATTGGCTTGATGGGGAGGGAGGATGATGTCAGTTATATATTAGTGCTCTTTATCCCTACGTTGCATACCTTCAGGGTTCTCTTGCCTTAATTGTGCTTTCGTTAAACACAACTATCAAGCATACATAACACTTCTGGCATCCTTGGTGCCAAAAAGTATCCACCCAGCCAGAAAAATATCTGACTTGGTTAGAGTATCCTTGTAGCCAAGCTAAGATCGTTAAGAGTCAGTTACAGATTTTTGCCAGTACACTTTGCAATAGAATAGAAACATTGCCTTTCTTATAAAATATTCTTCAGCAGTCATTTAAACTGCAAATAAGAAGGAGAACAGTGGCCTCCTGATCAAGCTCACTCTGTCATGAAGTAGCTCAGAGACCAGCATTACAAAGGGCAAGTTGAGTAATGATTATTTATGGACTGAAAAGGCTGAACTCTTGGTTGCCCTGGATACAGTGTTCTCATCACTGTCCTGTTCTGGCAAAGAGTGAAATCTCCTGCATGACAACTATTCCACACTAAAAGTATATGGCCAAAAATAACACCTTTGGTAATGAACTTAATAACCCCTCTTTTTGACCAAATGAGACATTGAAAACAGCCTAATTTTGTTTAGAGAAAATATTGAAAAGCCTGCCTTTGGCGTTCATAAGATATGTTTATTATTGCATCAGAGTCAGTCTATCTAACATTGGAACTACTGCCAAATGGAAAATTGTATTCCTTAATGAACTCTGTGTCTTGTTGCTTGTATAGAGTTTAGATAGAGCAATTTTACAAGCATCATTGTGGCCTTTTTGAGAGCTCATGCCTTTCTCTTTAAAAGTTGTACAGGGACAGTGAAAAAGAAGAAATAAAATAATTCATACCTTTATTCATCACAATAATATCCAACTTTTTTTTTTTTTTTTGAGACTGAGTCTCACCCTATTGCCCAGGCTGGAGTGCAGTGGCCTGATCTCGGCTTACTACAACCTCTGCCTCCCAGGTTCAAACAATTCTTCTCCTCAGCTTCCCCAGTAGTTGGGATTACAGGTGACTACCACCACACCTGACTAATTTTTGTATTTTTAGCAGAGACAGAGCTTCACCATGTTGGCCAGGCTGGTCTCGAACTCCTAACCTCAAATGATCTGCCCTCCTCAGCCTCCCAAAGTGCTGGGATTACAGGCATGAGCCACCACACCAGCCTATCCCACTAGTCTTTTATCTCAGCGAATACTGTCAACATCCATACTGACCCTTTAGCCAGAAATTTGGAAGACATCCTCATTTCTGCCACTCCCTTATCCCACATCCAGTTGGTCTCCAAATTCTAAGAATCTTTTTTACCTTTAACTCACCCTTCCTAATACCGCAGCCTTGGCACTTTTCCTTTTTTCTTTTTTTCCCTTAATCCCATGACTGATTATGAACTTTATTTTTTTTCCAATATTTACTTTAGATTCAGGGGTTACATGTGCACATTCGTCACTGGGGTACATTGCATGATACTGAAGATTGGGGTACAAATGATCCAATCATGCAGATACTGAACATACTCCCCAGGAGTTACTTTTTCAACCCTTACCCCTTTCCTCCCTCTCCCCTTTAACAGTCTCCAGTTTGTATTGTTGTCATCTTTATTTCCATGAGTACCTGATGTTTAGCTCCTGCTTATAAGTGAGAACACACAGTATATGGTTTTCTGTTCCTGCATTCATTTGCTTAGGATAATGGCCTCCAGCTATATCCATGTTGCTGCAAAGGACATGATTTCGCCCTTTTTTAGGGTTTTTGCACTTTATTTTTCACCTGAATTCCTTCAACAGTCCCCTGACATCTCTGTGCCTCCAGTCCAAGCACCATCACCTGGTGTTTTGGAGCATCAGCTCTGATGTCAAATTGCCATGATTCAAATCCAAGCTGTGACCCTTATGAAATGCTTGGCACTGTATCTGAGACATAAGTACTTAATAAATAAAGGTTAGCTGTCATTATTATTATCATTAGCCGTCACATTAGTGAGCTTTCTAAAGCCCGGTTCTGATCTGATCTGATCTCTTCCCCATGTAAAGCCCTTCAGTGACTCCCCTTCACCTCTTTAATTTGCATACAGGAGCCCCCATGACCTGAGACTTGCCCTCTCTCCAGCCTCATCTCTCACTGCACCCCGCCTTATACTCCATTCTTTAGTCTCACTTGTGATTCCCTAAATGTACTCTGCACGTTCTCCCTGTACCTTGGACCTGATTAGCCTCAAAACTTAGCTCCAAAGTAACTGTAGCCCTTCTCCAGGCCTCATTGTGAAGGATACCCCTTCTCTGCCACAAGAGCCAGGAGTATCTCCATGATAACTCTTACCACAAGCTTGATTGTCTGTGTCACATTCACTCATTCCACACGTATGTTTCTGAGTGGTACAATGTGCTGTAAATAAGGCTGGCTGCTGAGGATACAGATAAAGGCTTATCCAAGTTTGAGGTGTTCACAGTTTTGGAGGGGAAGCCCAGGTAAACAGCTCACTGTGACACAGGGTGGCAAGTGATAGTAGAATAATGAGTTATGGGAACATGTGAGAGGGACCGATTCCACCTGTGGGTTTCAGGGATGCTTTCACAGAGAAGGCAACAGTTAAGCCGAAGTTCAGTAATGAGTTCAAGTTGGAATTCCAAGTTCCAAAAGGAAACCAAATTAAGTTTGTGGTCGGGGGGTAGAGGGGAGTCTCTTCTTTAAGAAGATAACCTCCTCGTAGTGCCTTTGTTTCTCTGTCAGCTTGCATAGCACTTGAAATGAGTTTTTCTTGTCTCACTACCCATCCTGCCACCCAATATACACCCAGGGGAGCCACTCTGCTCCTGCCACACTGTCGACCTGGCTGTCACTAGTGGCCCTGTGTTCAGATCAGGCCGTGCTCAGCTCTCTGTCTGGCAGCTCCCTAATCCCTCTTCTCTGCTTAAAAAATGGCTTTTTAATTTCTGTTTTGGTTTTTTGGTTTGGGGCTAAATTTTTTATTAAAGACTAATTTTTTGAGCCATTTTAGGTTCATAGCAAAATTGAGAGGAACCCCATTATCAATGTCCCCCACCAGAGTGGTTATTTGTTACGATTAATGAACCTCCACTGACACATCATTATCACCCAAACTCTGTAGTTCACATTAGGGTTCACTCTTGATATTGTGCATTTCATGGGTTTAGACGAAGGTAGTGACATGTATCCACTATTATAGTATCATACAGGGTAGTTTCACTGCCCTAAAAATCATCTGTGCCCTATTTGTTTATCCCTCCTTTTGCTTATTTCTGAAGGCGCGACTCAGTTGTCGCTGCTTCATGAAACCTTCCTCAGCTCTCATCCCACCCTGAACAGAATTATTCGCTTCCCTCTCTAGGTCCCTGTTATCTTCAGGCTCAGTTATAGCACTTACAACATCAGCTAACCACTGTTACTAGTATCCCCAGGCCGGTTTGTGAATTCCTTGAAGGCAGAACCCTGCCTGTGTTCTTTCATACCTTCC